CTCTCTCTCTCTCTCTCTCTCTCTCTTCGTATTATTTGCGAGGGAATGATAGAGCTAATTTTAAAGCTAAGAAGATTGGTAACCTCCATTTCTTCCAAATTGGGGTTGGTCACCTCCATTTCTTCCAAATGGGGGTGCTACGGCCGGAACCACCATTGATTTGCTCCAGTTAGGTAAGTTTTTCTAAACTTAGAGAGCCTTAGATCTTTTAGCCATATTATGTGCGCTCTTCCAACCTTAGGTCCATGTCTCTACATTTCATATGTATTTATTTTTTTGTAATCCTGAAACCATCATATGCATGCTGGCGGTCACGTTAGCGTCAGGAGTGCTAGAATTGATTAATAACCTTAATTTATCTCCCACTAGATTATTAGGTTCTAAATTTTTAAGGTATATTAATTTGACAATTTAAAATCCTAATTCTGATAAATCATGAAATATACACAAAAAAAAATCAACTTAAGTGATAGCTAAAAATTCACCTATTAAATAAAAAAACACTAATATTTAAATTAAATGCAAGAATTAAATAATAAATTCAAATAAAAATCCCTTTTAATATAATGTTTGAAATAAATTCAATTTAAGTATGTGTGTGTGTGTGTATATATATATATATAACGAATCTTACCCATTATTCATAAGACCATATTCATGATTTTAAAGCACTTAGTTGGTTTAACTGGCTCTCCAATTTAGCTTGAGGTAAGCCCAGATTTGTATGTCATTAGTTAGGTTCGGGCCTACTATTATTAACCCATCTTAGATTTAGGTTTCGAGGTAGATCCAAAATCATAAGACCCCAACATCGAAAATTTAACCCCAAATTTTTAATAAAATATCAACTCAAACTAAAATTTTCTCTGTTCCAAAATTTAAAGCCCAACATAGGATAGGATAGGGTGCTTCTGAATTGTTTTCAGAATCTCAAAGCGCTCCCTATCTTTCATCATTTGGCTTCCAAAATATGTGCTTAAAGTATAAGACCCCAACATCGAAAATTTAACCCCAAATTTTTAATAGAATATCAACTCAAACTAAAATTTTCTCTGTTCCAAAATTTAAAGCCCAACATAGGATATGATAGGGTGCTTCTGAATTATTTTCAGAATCTCAAAGCGCTCCTTATCTTTCATCATTTGGCTTCCAAAATATGTGCTTAAAGTTAATCCAATCCCAATTAAAATTCCAACATCATTCCCTTCATATCACATCTTAAAAATTCAAATAAAATTTCTATTATTATTTTAATCGAGAGTATTCATAGGAGGCCTAAAACTTTCTATGATATAATTAATTATGAAGGCTTGCCTTCGTAGGAGATTTAAGACCCCAGATAAAATAAACACATTCTACTTAGCTCCTAAATAGGATAGGGGAAAAATGTTATTTTGGAAAAAATAAAATTAAAAGATGATCATTATCGACATATTCAAATCGTTGATAATAAACAATATTTTCTTTCTCCGGTGAGATATATCATTTATTAACATGCATTTGAATATGAAATTAATCATAGTACATCTAGATTATTGTAGCTAAATATATAATCGAACGATGTTTTGACCCTTCGAGGTCATTCGTATTTCCTTTTTTAATTTGACTACGATAGTTATGATGAAATTCACAGTTTTGTAATTCGAAACCATTAAAGAATGATATTTTCATCTTTAGAGGTGATATACCGTTCATAGTAATGTGTTCAATTTCAAAATTAATTCTTTTAAAAAAAAAATCTATAATCAAAATTTCCCAAAAAAAACAATTATAATTAATTTGTGCGCTTCCCGAGAAAAAAATCAAGAAGAAGGATGCGAGTTGGAGATTTTGCATAGATTACAGGATCCTGAACAAGGAGACTGTGCCAGACAAGTTTCCTATTTTTGTGATCGGTGAATTGTTGGACAAGCTTTGTGGAGCGATGGTGCTCACAAAGATGGATATGAAGTTTGAGTACTATCAGATCAAGACAAAAGAGGAGAATGTTCCGAAGACGACATTCGAGACACATGAGGGACACTTGAGTTCTTGGCGATGTCGTTTGGCCTCACTAACGCCCCTGCTACATTCCAATCCCTCATTAAAAAGGTGCTCTAACCATACATCAGAAAATTTATGATGATTTTCTTTGATGGCATGCTGATGTGCAACAAGATGGATAAGGAGCATTTGAAGCACTTGAGGGTGGTATTAGAGATGTTACAGGAGCATCAACTGAGAGCTAACATAAAGAAGTATTGTTTTGCATAGGCTAGTATGAAGTACTTGTGGCATGTATTATCTTAGGAGGGCGTGGCCGCTGATCAGGCCAAATTAAGGCAATGTTGAAATGGCCTCTACCTAGGAATTTGAGGGAGCTGAGGGGTTTCCTAAGGCTGATTGGGTACTACAAGAGATTTATGAGGGAATACAAAATCATAGCCTGGCCAAGTGGCCATTGATAGAGTACCTGAAGAAGGATAACTTCTTGTGAAGAGAGGATGCCTTTGAGAGATTAAAGCAGGTCATGACCACAATACTGGTCCTGGCCCTACCAAATTTTAGCCAAATTTTTGTGGTAAAGTCTGATGCATCAGGGTACAGATTAGGGACAGTGCTGATACAAAATCACATACCCATAGCTTACTTCAGCCAAAGCTCGACTGAAGTCAGTCTATGAGAGGGAGTTGATGACCATTATGTTAGTTATTTAGAACTGGCGGCCTTACTTGTTAGGCCAACACTTCATTGTCGGGATGGATCAATGGAACTTAAAATACCTATTAGAGCAGAGGATGGTGACCGAGGAGCATCAGAGGTGGTTGTCAAAGTTGTTGGGTTATGACTGTGAGATCCAGTATAGGCCAGGATTAGAGAACAAGGCGACAAATGCCGTGTACAGATGTGTGGTGGAGCTCCATAAGTTAGCAATTTCGATACCATAGATGCCAGATTGGGGGCCTATTATAGAAGAGAGTAAGCAGGATGAGGAGCTAAGGAGGATTAGGGCTGATCTGCTAAAGAATGGAAGTAGCCACCCTGGCTATTCCCTAGAAGGGTAGAGACTGTTGTACAAGGGGAGGTTTGTGTTGCCACGGACCTCAGTCCATATTCCACACCTGCTGCAGGAGTTCCATGAGAGCACTATTGAGGGTCATTCTAATGTATAAAAGACATACAAGAGATTGACAACAAAGTTGTATTGGAAGGTGTGCATGAGAATATGAAGGAGATGGTGGCCAAACGTGAGATATGCCACAACTCTGGGGAGCTTACTACAACTCCTAGCTCTCTAAGACAGAGTGTAGAAGGAGGTCACCATTGATTTTATAGATGGGTTATCCCGATCTGAGAGATTTATAGCAAGTATGCTCATTTCATTCCCCTATGATATCCTTACACGGCAGTGACAATGGCAGCAGCATTCATTAGAGAGGTGGTCAGACCACATGGGATACTGGAGTTTACAGTGTCCAACCAAGATAAGGTTTTCCTCTGTCAATTTTGGAGAGAGTTGTTCAAGTTGTAGGGGACAGTGTTGAAGAGGTCACCCTTAGACAGACGGCAAACAAAGGTGATAGACAGGAGCCTGGAGACATACCTACGATGTTTTTCTTTAAAGGCATCTCGGTCGTGAATCAAGGGGCTAGGATGGGCAGAATACTGGTATAATACTTCGTATCATTCAGATTCTCAGATGACTCAATTCAAAGAATTGTATGGAAGGGACCCACCTCACTTGGTGCACTTTGGGAAGAGTAACACATCAGTGTCTTCAGAGGAGTAATATTTAGAGGAGAGGGACAGAGTGTTGGATGAATTAAAAAGACACTTGTTGAGGGCTCAACAGATCATGAAGAACAAAAAAAATGAGCATAGCAGGGACATCCAATTCGAGATAAGAGATAGGGTATACTTAAAGCTTCATCCCTACAAACAACGAATGATAACTAATAGAAGAAATAGAAGCTGACTCCGAGATACTTTGGCCCTTATGACATATTAGAGAAGATTGAATAGTGGCTTATTGATTGAAGTTCCCCATAGCTACCATACACCCAATGTTCCACGTGTCATAGTTGAGAAGAGCCATTGGAGATCATGCATCTAGTTCAGAGTTACCAGTGATACTAACATAAGATTTATAGGTGGTGCTAGAACTACTAGAGCTGAAAGGGGTACAACCGGGAGAACAGATCAAGAAATTGCTGATAAAATAAAAGAACCTACCCAACTATGAAGTCACATGAGAGCCGAACGAGAGAGTGAAGCATCAGTTCTCATCATTTCACCTTGAGGACAAAATGGGTCTTTGGGTGGGGAGTATTGTTAGACCGGCCCTGCCGGTCCAAAAGGGATTGATCCAACCGGTCTAGATTGGACCAGACTGTTTTTACACCAGGCAAAAGCCTAGTCTATCCTAGCCATATCCGTCCCCCCCTTGGGGTGGGGCCCAACAATTAAGGCAAAGGGAGGAGCAGGCGGTAGGAGGGAAATTCAGATTGGGAGAGTTGTTTTGGGTATTTTGCTATGTATTTTATGCTTTAAGTAGTATTTTTAAACCTAGGATTAGATTATCTATTGTTTTGGCTGAATTTGGAGTATTTTTAGGGTGATTTCAGCTTTAGCCGGTGGAGAAATGGGAGAGCCGGATCCTCCTCTCCAATTGAGGACCCATTGTATCTTGTTGTTTTCTTCCCTAATACATCAATTACAAAGTTTTCTCTTGTTATTCCTCTTTGATCTTCTCGTGATTTTTGTGGAAGATTGCTGAAATTAAAATTCAGCCAAAGTTTTTATTGAGTTCTACATGTAGAACTTCCTATCACAATTAAATCATTAAAATAATTTAAAGTAATTTTAATAATTATTTTAACATCATGAATGAAGTCCTAGTTATATTTAAGTTGAATCTTTGAATCTAAAAATCTTGACTAATATTCATACGTAACAAACATATGGAGCTAACATGAAACTTTTTTATATGGACTAATACAGTAACATGGAAGATTTCATACCATTCTATCCAAGTCCTCTGGTGATAGTGCGGCCATGGCTTGTTGAGCCTTTGTTGCATCCTCTTTGGAGAGCTTCATACCAAACTGTTCACTCATAGTAGTCATCATTTCTGGGCTCATGTTCTTCATCATAGATGTAAACATCTGCAAGTGAATTATTGCAAGAAAACCAGTAATAGGTTAGATGGTTGTGAGAAAAATAGATGTCAAAGGACGTGAGCTTGTACTGAAATTGAACTGATGAACCTGCCGCATGGCTGGATCATTCATAGAATTCATCATGGTCTCCTGCAAATCAGATGGTGGCTGACTCAAAGTCGTACTTGAAGACTGTCCACTGGTATTTCTTGTTCCTGCAGAGGTATTAACTGCAGGAATTGATGATTGAGAGGAGATTTCTGATCTCTGGGTACTGAAATCAGATGCAGCTTTCATGCTGTTTGCATTAAAGGACGATGAAAATTCATACATCTTCTTCAGCTCATCAGGAGGCATAGTACTGATCTTTTCTGAAGCCATTCTTATCATCTCCGGGGTCATGGCATGGCCATTCATGTTTGAGAATGATGGCCCGTTTCCTTTAAGTGAAGAAGCAACCTCAAGCATTTTCTGCAGCTCCTCAGCCTTCATGCTGCTAATCATTTCTGTGGTTGTTTTAATAATTTCAGGTGACATTCCACCAAGACCCATGGCAGAAAGAGATTCTGCATCAGCATTTGAGACATATTTCTGGAATAACCTGGAATATTCTCACAATCGAGAGAGGTGCCAATCAAGATCTCCAATTATCACAATTCAGTCAGGGAACAATCAGATCTTCAACTATATATATATTTGATTTGCATTTATAGGATCATTGGTGTGAAAAAAAAACTGATATTAACATTCTCTGCATATCAATTATGTTTAACAAGCAACCAAGTAGTTCGAAAAAATAAACAGACTCATTCTTCATATAGTCAAAATATAAGGGCATGTTTTTGAAACTTAAATAGAAAGAAAAGATTACATATTAAACAGTAAAAAGTTTACAATACCTGATGGTTTCAGGATCTTCCCTGAAATTTCGCAAAGCTTCAGGATTAGCTGTCGAAGGCTCACCATAAGATCCGCCATTTTCGTTGGTTTCACTGCTTTCAACTGGCTGCGTCACAGAATATTCAACGGCACTATGACAATTTGATGGCACTGTTCTGGTTTCATCTTCGTCTATTTCCTCAATTACAACCCCTGATAACGCATATGAATAAAAATATTTATAAGTCCAACTAAAGTTAGCGATAAGAAGTAGCTAAACCCACCTTGTGATGCATTTAGACCTCCACCCTTCATTATCATTTCCTTAGCATCTCTGTGAAAGTTGGGCATATTTGTAATATTGTGATGACCTTACTAAATAGGCTACTTCTAAAAGTTGGGAGATTGAATTCTAGTTCGTACCTTAAGACACCTGCAATAGTCTCGTCTTCTGGGGAAAAATTATGAGCGTTGCTCAAGTCAGATACTGCAGCCTGATGAAAAAAGAAGTTATTGGATATAAGCTTTCCAATAAAACTTCAATATATTTGCTCAATGAACATTAGGTGCTCTTATAGAGATAAAAAAAAAGTAGCAAGTTCAACTACAAGCAGCAGCGACACTCACCTCCAATTTCCCAAGTTCCTTGTACGCTTGACCTCTACGATAGAGAGCTTTGACATTCTTATAGTCATTTTTTAAAACCTGAGATTAAATTAAGTTCCGTTTAGTGGATAATTGTAGCTAGAACATAACTGAAGTTTATACTAAAAGCTTTAAAACCAAAAAGAGTGTTGAAAAAAATAAGTACTTGTTAATTTGAAGAGAAGATATATGAATGAGCTGACAAGGATCAGAACATTGCCTTGCACATTTGAAGGGAACTAATACTCTTCAAAGAGATGTAATTAGAATAAAAAAGATTTGAGTCGCTATGTAAGCTATTTGTAATGCCTTCTCTTGTTATTGTCCCACTTCCTCTTCCCCAATTCCCAATGTTTCTCCCTTTACACCCCACTTCATCATAAATTATTAAGGCCTCTCACTTCCTCTCTCTCTCTCTCTCAGTGACCACATCACCAACCTACTCCCCTCTCCTTTCATAGCAAGCTATTTGAAATGCCTTCTCTTGATATTGTCCCACTTCCTCTTCCCCAAATCCCAATATTTCTCCCTTTACACCCCACTTTATCATCTATTCTTAAATCCCCTCTCTGTTCTCTCTCCTTCCTTACAAAAACTCCATCATTCTCTCAACATTCTTTAGCTCTAATTGTCTTCATACTCATTAACCTATCAATATCTACCCAATCCTTTTTATCTCTTGAACTGAAAACTCTCTTTTTTTCATTACTAATCATATCACACCAAATGCTACCATTCTCTTACTAGTCCAAAATTACTTCATGATTCCCGCATCACAGACAGCTTCAATTGACTTCTCAACCAAATTACGAGCAACCAAGTTTTGGAAATAACTTTCTTCATTCATTATCATGAGGTCCATTGTACGCCCAATTGGAAAACAAGATGAAAAAAACAGCAAGTAGAATTTATTTAACAATAATCACTTATAATACCCTTTATGATTTTTTGTGATTGTGTAAATATATGCCTCTAGATTCACAAACATATTTGTACTTTTTGTTCATAAATCATAAAAGAAGCCCTAAACTGAGTCTCGATCACCTAATATTTCAACTATTCTACGTAGTAATTACAAGGGAAGATTTTGTACACAGTTACCAGCACCAAATACTCAGAGGAACTTTCATGCAGCTTTCAGAAAAGATTGATGCAATGAGATGCAAGTATTTTATGACGAATATGTTAGGCCAACATCCCAAGCTGAACTGGTCCCTCCTTTGCTACAGGAGGTGGGCCCCTAGAGGGGGGCGGAATAGGGGTGTCAATAATTGACCCGACCCGACCTCGTGTTTGCTTTTAGGGGCTCTAAACTTATGCTAGAGATTTGGAGAGTTGAATCTTCCTCTGGAATTGAAGATTCATTGTATCGGGTTGTTTCTTTTCAACTATTAGTGAATTTCAAGTGCTGTTTTTTTGGGTTTTCCCTACAGTTTTCATCAAAATCTGCTAAATTTGCTGTTTTTCTCTGAATTTCTGCAATTTTTTCCTGTTATGGTGGCTTGTTTTCTATCAGATAATTGCTTCATCAATCATAAATTTAAGTAATTGAAAGGCAAGGACGTTGCATAGCATACCTCTGAACCTTCCTTGATGCAGTCTTCATACTGCATTGTCTTCAAGTAGCATGACATAAGGTTAAGAGAGCATTGCAAACTCAGAGTGCTAGATTTAGCTGAAGGGACGCCTTTCAAGTTGTCCTTAGCCTAATGTTAATGTATATACATAAACTAGTCACGAAACATTAACTATCAATCTACAAAGAAATTTAAAAGTAAATACTTGAATGTAGTACAACATACTCGTAAGTACTTATTAGCTGCATCATGATACTGCATGCTGGCATGAAGCTCATTCCCCTGAGAAAAAAAAAACATGGTTTGCATGCCCGACGACAAAAATATGTAAGCCTTAAAAGGTAAAAAAAAGTTCAATTAGACAAGAATAGAAAATGGATTTATCTAACATTAAAGTAAAAGATAAAAATAGGAATTAAGTTAGCATAACTGTATAACTAATTCATCGCATAGACATGAAGTGGCTCATGCTTTGCATAGTTTAGCCTAGTTATAAACGATTGTAAGCTTTTCTCATTATTAGAAAAAATATGAATTAAAAAATTCACAAAATACTGTCAGTTAACAATTAAATAGAGAATTTGTAAAGTTAATCAATGCATGCCTCCATAAACCAGTATGAAACTCATATATATGGGAATGGGTGCATTGAGTGAGAATGCACATAAATAGGCATATAGTATAGATATTAATAGTGTGAAGTCAGTCCTATCTGGAATATATATATATATATATATATATATATATATACAGAGGCAGAGCCAAAAATTTTATTCAGGGGAGGGGGGGGCCTAAATTAACCACTATGGGAAAATCACTCATTATAGGCAGAATTTTTGGGCGGTTAATTTTCCGACGATTTTCTGACAATCAATTTTCCGGCGATCAATTTACTGGAGCCAAGAGGATCTGTAAGATCAAAATTAAGGATGCAAATAACATGGCGAGAGAGGAGCGAAAGAGAAAACGAAAGCCGTGCTTGAGGTTGCGAGTTGTGAGTTTGAGAAGGAGCAAAAGGGAAAACGAAACAGACAGTTTGTGTCGATGGAAAGAAACATTTGTGGAGCTGTCTCTTTGGCCATGTGATATTATATTATTCCAGATTAAAAAATTTATAAAAAATTATTGTGAAAATTAGAAGAAACTATTCTGAACAAAGTCTAAAACATTTCTTGCATTTAAATCATAGAATTGTTAGGTTTTATTTTGATAAAAAATAATTGTAATTTTATGTGAAAACTGTCCTCCATACTTAAATTTGCTTTACAATGAGTGCAAAACATAAAAAATTTAATTAAAATATCTATTACACATATATCAAAATAAATATAATACTTTTAAGATATATTTTGACCAAAATAATTGATCAATAAATTCTATTAACTATTTTTTATGAATATAATACATTTAATAAAAATTGAACTGAAAATTATACCTCATTCTCTTATTTTCTTATAAAAATTGCATTAAGCTTTAATATTACATGCACCCTAAAAAAAAAAAAAAAAAAAAATTAGGGGGGCACGTGCCCCCCCTGCCCCCTATTTATTAACATGAAAGAGTGAGAGATTGAGCGCAAGGGAGAAGAAACCTATGGATATAAACAATTTACTGAGTACGGGAAAACAATGCTTCTCATACCTGTACAACGAGAGGGGAAGACACTCTTGGTTGAAGGTTAGTACAAGCGGGATGCACATGTGGAGTAAGGTAAGAAAGTTTGTTTGTAAAGACTTTGTGAATCATATACATGCTATGTATTAAATTTTTAGAAAATTACTTATAATGGCTAAAAAATAAAAAATCTTTATTATAATATTATATATATAATATATATATATATAATCTATTAAAGATTATCTTAAGAATAATTTAATTTTTATAATTAAGTAATTGAATTTAGAAAATAATTATCATAGGTTAATAATTAAAAATTTAAATATATATGGCAAATATTTTTATTTAGGTGATTTGAAAACCAACATGAACATTAATTGAAAATTTTATAACAATTATTTGAGCGAGAAAAAAGAAATTTTAAAATATGAAAAATACACCTATTTATTTTAATCATGGTTTAAAATTGCATAATTGGGTAATTGAGCGATTTTCTTTTGTGAGAAGAGGCATAAGCCTCAAAATCCAAAAATTGTGTAAATGAAAATAAAATAAAAGTAGATTTTTATATAATACTCAAATAATATACTAAAGAATAACATATTAACTTTCTATTTAACTATAACGTAACAAATTGATATACATTAAAACAAAAAAATTGAACAAAACGTAAAATGACAAATGAAAATTGTTTGAAATAGAATTAAAATCCAAATATTATAAGAATAAAATAACATTAAATATAAGAATCACATAAAAAGTATCATTATAACATTAATTTAGCCACAAATTCCTTCTTTCATAGTTCCCTACTCATTCACATTCAATTACTAAAAAAAATCTTACATAATTCAACCAACTCATAAATCACCTGCACTTCATCAATGAGGGTCTTATGAGTCTCGTCAAACAAATTGATATCTCAAATGTCTCATCCTGTAAGATTCAATGTCTCTTAATATGTTCTTCTTCATTTATTTCAATCATTTTTTTTATTTCATAAGTATTTTTCATCAACAGAAATGAGAATAATACTCCAAAAATTTTAGATGGTGTAGTAGTGTTGGATTTCAAGTGATTCTCGGTGGTGGCTTACGATGGGTGGCAACGGTAAAGATGTGGCAAGAGGTCGAGGTGTGAGAGGAAGTTGCTGCAACTTGGGTGCATGAAGGTGATTGTTAGGGGATTAGTTTAGGGTTTAGGTAAATTTAATAAAAAATATATATAATAATTCGATTCAGGCATATGCCTCACACTAGTAAGTCGAGAAGCATCTTAAAGGCAGCCTCATCCAAGCTGAGCGTAAGCCTCATAAAAAAGCACGAGGCGTAAGCTCAAGGGCTTTTCACTGAATTGCACTGAGCGAGCCTCATATTGCATAATTAAACAATATTTGTAATCATCAAACTAATTGATAAGGCTTTATGCTTTCATGTATGATATATCTATAATTCAAATTCATTTTAATCCTATAAATATTTTTAAAATTTAATAAATAAATAAAAATATTAATATATATTATATTAATGAAATGTTAGGTAAAAAATATAAATATTAATAATTATAAATTAAACATAAATTTAGATACTTGAATATTATTAAAAGACTTGGTTAGAAAATATTAGGAATGACCTTTCTTTATTAGATTTAAACGAGAATTTGACTTTTAATAGGACACAATGGAGAAAAAGGATTCATGTAGCCGAACCCCACATAGTGGATAAAGCTTGATGTTTTGTTGTTTTGTTGAAATATTATTAAATATAAGATCCGAATATTGATATAGTATTAAAATAACGATGTGGAGTTTACGGTAACAAAAAAGAAGACTTTTTAAGTAATGAGTTGAGTACTCATGTTTTTAGATTATAGTAATAATTTTTTTTTTTAAATGAAATGCATAGAAGGATATTAACACATGCTTATTTAGTTAATGTACAAGTTAAATCATGACTTATCTTTTCATATACAATAATGCATTGGATTGACTGTTCGCAATATGGTTTCATATAGTAATATTAGCATATAGTTTTCACATTACATATAAAGTTATTAAAATGATATATGAATGAAATAAACTCGATCAAAATACTTGTATGTGCATGTTGATTGATAGAGTACTCCCCCTATATATATGGACTAGGACACAATGTACCCACCACGGCGAACCATGTTAGCCCTGAGGGGGGGGGGGGAAAATTTCCCCCCTAAAAAAAAAAATTCCCTAAGCCTCTTCGACCTGCATGCAACTTAGCGTGAGGTGCAGTTCGCCCCCCCCCCCAAAAAAAAATTTCCCTAAGCCCTTCATTCGATGTCAACCTAGTCCTAGCAAACAGGGCAAAAGGATATAAGAGAAGCGAACAAAGAAGGGCAAAGGAGCTCCGACAAAAACCAGCAGCTCCGTTCTTCATTGCCCGATGGAGCAATCTCCATCTTTTGCTTGAACCAATGCAAAGCTAAGAAGCAGACAATAACATAAAGCATAAGAGAAGACTTCATCATCATGCTTCCATATGAGAAATGAGAAGTGGGAAAGAAAAAAGCTTTAGCTTTTACAAAGAACTGAGCAGATGTCTTGAAAATCAACTAATTAATACATTGGATATATTTATAAATCATTTGAGTAAAAAGCAACAAAAATTACAATTTTACATCATAATTAATATTATTTAAAAATTTATATATTATGAATAATAAAGCAACAAATTCTACAGTTGGCTGTTGTGCTCAATCTCAAAATTGTGTCTATATATATGTTGGAATTTATTTAACGCTATTACAATAAAACTCTGCACATTATTGCAAATATTTTCATCTCTATGTTTCTGCACCTACTCATTCAGGGGCTCAGTCAATGCCTCACCTAATATATATAATAATATATATATAATATATATATATTATTCTTTAGGGGCGGAAAACCTGCAGTGTAAATCCCACCAGGGCGTTGCCCCTTTGACCCTCGACATATATGCCTTATAAGTTTGCCCCCCCCTAAAAATTAGGCCTGGTCCGCCCCTTTACCCACGTGATGAAATGAAAAAGATTTGGAAAAAAAAAATTGAAAAAGGAAGTTATCTTAATTGATGGTATTTAGAAGTATCTCATGTGATGGTTACCTTAATTATGAAAAATACTAAGATATAATTATGAGTATTATATATTGCATAAAATACGATGATGATCATTTCAAAATAACTATTAAAAAGGTTACTTCATTATTTACAACACATGCATGATTCCTATGTCAAAATGTTTTGTATTACTATAATTTAAAAGCATGCACTCATTGAGTTTGAGTTATGACTCACTCTCCTATACTTACAAACATACACATGAATAATTTGATAATTTAATTGAATGGATGATGCGGTCAAAAGATATAGGAGCCTAATCTTCCTGATCACAAAAACATGACGGACTTCTACTTACGAAAATGACTAAAGGATGAAAAAAAAGGACGAACAAACTCTTACATTTCAAATTTAAACTAAACAAAAGAAAACTACAACAATACAAAGACTCTTGCAACCAAAATGACGACACCCTAAAATTGCTTCACTTAGAGAAAAGGATACAGGTGAGTGGCACTTGCGGAGAGACGAAAGAGATTAGAAGCCCGAAGAGAAAGTTGGAAAAAGCCCCAGATTCCGGAGGAATGAAAA